CTTAGGCCAGGTAATTTGATGCGCGGGGTGAGTTCGGATTATTGGAAGGTAACAAGGCACTGAAAAGGAATACATTCAACGAAATGTTGATGCTAGATGAGTTGCTTTATTTGGCTTGATTTCATTCGTTGTAATAATTCTTCCAATTCACCATTTGCTTGTTTAGTCAGACTATCTCCAATGCTTTTCGATGTGCTTAGTTGTTTTACGTTTTCTGTTGTTGGAGATTCCATAACCACATCTACAACTCAGTGCGTTTGATCGTTCACTCACCTTCAAGTACGAATTCCTATTTATGTTCCACCACTGATGAATCTTTTGGAATCTTTGAAATCTTTTATAACTGGAATCAGCGCACTGTTCATAATTAGAATCTTTAGAATCGGTTTAGAATCTCAGTTCGGTGTGATCATTGCGTTCGGAAGGGTCTGTCTTGCTTCCATGTTATCGTTTAGATCATCGAATTTACCTGGGTTCTTAGTTATTAGCTAATTTGTTTCATCGTTATTTCCTGTGATGAAAAGCAACAGCATCTCTATTATCTCAACTAAGCAACAGTATCTGTGTTATCACCGAATACTGTGATTATCATCATTAATTTGCATCTCACGTTCTGTGTGATCGGCGACTTGATCCCTTTATTGAGAATGTCGACAAAACCTTAAATCGGCCTTAGATCGGCTGTTCCGTGAGTGATGACAGAGATTATAGTTAACACAAGGATGACTGGTTCAATGTTACTGATGAAGGTTGATCTTGTTCTGTGATAATTCATTAGAAAGCTTCCCCAACAATTTTTTGAGAAAGTCATTTTTCGATCATGCCAATCAACTTAAGCATTTGTGTCCGAGTTTTACAATAAAGCATGTGCTTCCTGAATATCCATCAGTTTAATTGTTCGATGATTAGAAGTTTCATTGAGCTGATGTACACTGAATCACGCTCAGCATGCAGCGCTATTTGAAATCGCTCCTTTTTCGGTTTATTTCATTTTCAATTCCCTATGCTGATGATGCTCACCACTCAGTTGAATCCTATCTTGTCATTATAACGGGTTTCGATTGTTCTTTCTTGTTTATTACAGTAACATCGTTGTTCAGTTTAATCAGCTGATCCTCCTTAAATTTCTTGCTTAGTATGTGTAAAAAGTGTTCATTTATGAGCATTGAAATTCTCAATTGATGTATTATATTGATAAAGACAACCAACAAATTTGCGGATGTTCCTCTCTTTATCCATTCATAAGATAGTCAAATTATCAGAATGCGATCAATATGATAGCACTGTATGGATATTTTGATAAGGTTCTCGGTTATTTTTTCCGTGGTGCAGTTTGTTGATTTTTGAAATATTTTTTCGGATGCGTAATTACATTTGGTACCAACAGCAATGATCGATGAATTGTTCCGATGTTTCATGTGTTACTGCGTTGGTTCGGGAACAGAGGAACTATAACAAGTTTATTTATTGAAAATAGATACAGGAACAAATAAGTCAATCAGAAGTCTTCGATATCCACATCGTAGCCGTTTTGCTCGATTGCCTTCTTAATGTAAGGGTCCTCCTTGAGTACATCCATTAAGCACGAAATCTGATCAACACGTTCCTTTATTCGTTGTTGTTGTTTGAGATAGTCATCCTTCAACTCGTTTCTGAACTCAGACGTTGACAGTTGAGCGTCAGCCGCTAGTTTNTGAATGAAAATGCATCTTATGATGGATGACTTGCGATTGAAATGCTTGAGTTTGAGACATTCGCTTGCGAAGAAATCAGTTTGTTGATGGAAATCATTGTTTCGTGAACAATCGAAAGAAAACATCCACGAAAATGATTCAACAAAGATAACTAAATAATTACCCTGGCTATGTCGATCGTAGTAAAACTGTGCTCGTATAGCATATCCATATAGATATCATCATTTCCATAAACGCTCATCAATGCCCCATCCTTGACGCCTTGAAGTGTCCCGTTTATAAATAATCCACTTTGTTCGCTGGCCAACTGTGTGAGATTTTCGATTATCTTGAAGAACTCCAGAAAACGTTTCCATTGCTCAATGTGGCGTCCAAGCACGAAGATACCTAAATGAAATCTGACTTGCTAGATTTTACACGAGCGTAAGGTTTCATTGTCAGTAGAAAAATGTTTCATCTCATTCGAATGGTTTTAGTGTCTAGATTGCAAATGCATTAATCACTTGGAAAGAATCTGCTGCATTCTTGGGGAATGGTCCAACAACTCTGAATTCAAGTTATGATGTTCGGTAAAAACTGATCGATTCTGTTACCTTCTCGGATAACCTCCAATATCGCTTCGAAATCGATTTTGGTGAAGTCAATGACTTTAAGTTTTGCTATGTATTCACTGTTACGATCCATCAGCGCTATCTTCTTATCGAATAACGCTTCATATTGTTTGTTTGCACTGATTAACATGTCGGTTGCAGCTTTTAGCTGAAAAATGACTTGTATTGGTCATTTTATTTGAATAATCCAGGTGATGAGATAGCAACCTGAAACTGTGGAAAGATGTGTGTGATGAAAAGTACATCAAGGACTATCACCGTGTGATTAAAAGCACACCAAAGAATTCGTGATGTAGATGAAAACGGTGAGATGCATTGGTGATAGATGATAAGTTAATGATAACGTGTAAATGATAAATACACTGATCGACTCTGACAAACAGGTGATGAGCTACCCTCATCAACGCTTTAAATTATACTGAAATGCTTTAAATAATTCTGAATAAGTAATCGTGTACACGTTAATTCAAGTCCCTAAATAGGCCCAGTTTGGAACCTTAACTCAAGCTCTGATCTTCGATACACTGTATATCTAGTGATCAGTACGTACCTTAGCGCGACAGTATGAGGGTTGCCATTTTCAAACAATCGGTCCTCTTGATACAGCGCGTCGAATCAAAGTCATTCGATTTTTTAAATTTTTGAGTCAACAAAATGTGCTCATCGGAAGAATCCAGTAAATAGTGCAACAAAGAAATCGAAAAATACGAACTTTCGCAAGTCTCGAACCCATAATCTGTCCGTAGGTATCACTTGAGCTCTCACTCATCGTATCTAGTCGTTGATTCAGCACCATTGTATGACCGTTGCTCGCCGTTTCAGCTAAAGCTTTCGCAGCATCGCTTTGCACTTGATTTGATATTTCATCCAACCTGAAGAAGAAATTCATTGATGTTTGTTGCCGAGAAAAAAAGGATCGTTTTTGTTTGCTTGCGGATAGAACGTATCGATGAAAATAAATTTTTGTACGTGAGTTAGGTGATGGTACGGCCTTCAAAAGTTTTTCCAAATGGAAACTCACTGCTCTTTCATCTTGGTCCTATCTTCTTCACTTACTCCACTGGCAGCCTTGTAAGCATTCTTAACTGCTTTGAGGAACGATGNNNAGGATGATTCCATTTGAAATTTATGTGAGGAATTACAACTCACTCAATAACTTAAGGACTCATTTGACTGTGATTCATGCACCGGGATTATTAGAACGGAATTAGATGCGAACAACGATGTTCTAGTGAAACAGTGTTATAAACTGAGTGCAATGGGGTTTATGCACGATGCTGCATGATGTTTGGAAGCGAACTGTTCGTAATGTGAGCAACACCTCAGTTCTTCATTACCAGAATTAAGGAGAAACTCACATTCAATTCATCAACTTGCTCATTAGTTTGCTCATTTCCTGCCGTTGGCTGTTGCGAGGGCATTTGGCCTCCACCGCTCGGCCCGGAAGGTCTATGTCCCATAACGTTAGAGATCATTTGAGGTGCAAATTTGACAATGTCGATTATTGCCGAAAAGAATATTTCACCCACCCTCGGTTTTGCTTTTCGTTGTGCCTGAAATCATGCTACAAAATATTTCGATCATCAAAAAATGCAGTTTGCCTCAGCGTTATCGCCTCGTTCTCAACCTCTCTTTTGACACAACAAGTGCTATCACCAAAATCAAAAAGCGCATCAAAATCAAAGCGCAAATGCTATCAAATCAAATATCATTGCATCAAATGATGTTTCGAACTCACACGGCTCATGTTTTTGAGTATTCTGAAACTCATAATTAAAGAGCTTTTGAACCTTATGCGCATTCAAAAGAAATTCCAATGTGAAGTATCAACTCGCAGAGATTAACATATATGCTCAGGCTCACCTCTTCGTATTCACTTTCCAATTGTTTCACCCGATCAAGTTGCCTTGTTAACTCGTTATTGACGTCTTGGAGCAGCTTCGCTGAACTATTTAATTTCGCATCGAATGCAGCTTTCTCTTTCATCAGTACGTTCAATCGGTCCTTCTCTTCGGATTGCGCCGACAGAGTGGCCATCTAAAGAGTTCAAAACATATCTCATCATCAGCGAATTACATTCAACTGCATTGTTGTACTTTACCCACAATCGAGCCAATTTGGTACGCCATCAAGT